TTAGGTACCTGGTGCTGTCTAGATAAGGTAACGGGTACTGTCTAGATAAAGTGATGGATACTTTCTAGATAAGGTAATGGGTACTGTCTAGATAAGGTAACGGGTACTGTCTAGATAAGGTAATGGGTACTGTCTAGATAAGGTAACGGGTACTGTCTAGATAAGGTAATGGGTACTGTCTAGATAAGGTAACGGGTACTGTCTAGATAAGGTAACGGGTACTGTCTATATAAGGTAATGGGCACTGTCTAGATAAGATAATGTGTACTGTCTAGATAAGGTAGCGGGTAATGTCTAGATAAGGTAATTGGTACTGTCTAGATAAGGTAACATATACTGTCTAGATAAGGTGACGGGTACTGTCTAGATAAAGTTATTGGTACTCTCTAGATAAGGTAACGGGTACTGTCTAGATAATGGATACTGTCTAGATTAGGTAACATATACTGTCTAGATAAAGTAATGGGTACTGTCTAGATAAGGTAATGGGTACTGTCTAGATAAAGTAAAGGGTACCGTCTAGATAAGGAAATAGGTACTGTCTAGATAAGGTAACGGGTACTGTCTAGATAAGGTACTAGATAATGTGTACTGTCTAAAGATAAGGTAATGTATAATGTTTAGACAAGGTAACGGGTACTGTCTAGATAAGTTCATGGGTACTGTCTAGATAAGGTAACGGGTACTGTCTAGATAAGTTCATGGGTACTGTCTAGATAAGGTAACGGGTACTGTCTAGATAAGTTCATGGGTACTGTCTAGATAAGGTAACGGGTATTGTCTAGATAAGGTAATTGGTACTGTCTAGATAAGGTAAGGGTACTGTCTAGATAAGGTACTGTCTAGATAAGGTATGGGTACTGTCTAGATAAGGTTATGGGTAGTGTCTAGATAAGGTAACGGGTACTGTCTAGATAAGATAAGGTAATGAGTACTGTCTATACAAGATAATAATGGTACTGTAGATAAGGTAACGGTTACTGTATAAATAACGGGTACTGTCTAGATAAGATAATGGGTACTGTCTCGATAAGGTTATGAGTTCTGTCTATACAAGATAATAAGTACTGTCTAAATAAGGTAACAGATACTGTCTAGATAAGGTAACGGGTACTGTCTAGATAAGGTAATGGGTACTATCTTGATTAGGCTATGGGTACTGTCTAGATAAGTTAACGAGTACTGTCTAGATAAGGTTATTTGTACTGTCTAGATAAAGTGATGGGTACTGTCTAGATAAGGTAATTGCTACCGTCTAGATAAGGTAATAAGTACTGTCTAGATAAGGTACCAGTTACTGTCTAGATTAGGTACCTGGTGCTGTCTAGATAAGGTAACGGGTATTGTCTAGATAAGGGTACGGGTACTGTCTAGATAAGGTAATTGGTACTGTCTAGATAAGGTAATAAGCATCGTCTAGATAAGGTAATGTATAATGTTTAGACAAGGTAACTGGTAATGTCTAGATAAACTAATGGGTACTGTCTATACAAGGTAATAAGTACTGTCTAGATTAGGTACCGGTTGCTGTCTAGATAAGGTACCGGGTACTGTCTAGATAAGTTCATGGGTACTTTCTAGATAAGGTAACGGGTACCGTCTAGATAAGGTAATAAGTACTGTCTAGATAAGGTTATGGGTACTGTCTAGATAAGGTAATTGGTACCGTTTAGATAAGGTAATATTTACTGTCTAGATAAGTTAACGGGTATTGTCTAGATAAGGGTACGGGTACTGTCTAGATAAGGTAATTGGTACCGTCTAGATAAGGTAATAAGCATCGTCTAGATAAGGTAATGTATAATGTTTAGACAGGGTAACGGGTAGATAGGTAGTACTGTCTAGATAATAAGGTAACGGGTACTGTCTAGTAATGGGTACTGTCTATAGGTAAGGTAATAAGTACTGTCTAGATTAGGTACCGGGTGTTGTGTAGATAAGGTAACAGGTACTGTCTAGATGATGTAATGGGTACTGTCTAGATAAGGTAACGGGTAATGTCTAGATAAGGTAAATTTGAACTGTATAGATAAGGTAACCTGTACTGTCTAGATAAGGTAACAGATACTGTCTAGCTAAAGTGATGGATACTGTCTAGATAAGGTAACGGGTAAGGTAAGATAACAGGATAAGGTAATAACGGGTACCTAAGGTCTAGATAAGTAATGGGTACTGGGTACTGTCTGGTGTTGTCTAGATAAGGTAACGGGTACTGTCTAGATAAAGTGACGGGTACTGTCTAGATAAGGTTATAGGTACTGTCTAGATAGGTAACGGGTACTGTCTAGATAAGGTGATGGATACTGTCTAGATAAGGTAATGGGTACTGTCTCGATAAGGTTATGGGTACTGTCTAGATAAGGTAACGGGTACTGTCTAGATAAGGTAATGGGTACTATCTTGATTAGGTTATGGGTACTGTCTAGATAAGGTAACGGGTACTGTCTAGATAAGGTAACGGGTACTGTCTAGATAAGGTAATATGTACTGTCTAGATAAAGTAATGGGTACCGTCTAGATAAGGTAATAAGTACTGTCTAGATAAGGTAACGGGTACTGTCTAGATAAGGTTACGGGTACTGTCTAGATAAGGTAATGGGTATTATCTTGATTAGGTTATGGGTACTGTCTAGATAAGGTAACGGGTACTGTCTAGATAAGGTAATGGGTACTATCTTGATTAGGTTATGGGTACTGTCTAGATAAGGTAACGGGTACTGTCTAGATAAGGTTATTTGTACTGTCTAGATAAAGTGATGGGTACTGTCTAGATAAGGTAATTGCTACCGTCTAGATAAGGTAATAAGTACTGTCTAGATAAGGTAACGGTTACTGTCTAGATTAGGTACCTGGTGCTGTCTAGATAAGGTAACGGGTATTGTCTAGATAAGGGTACGGGTACTGTCTAGATAAGGTAATTGGTACCGTCTAGATAAGGTAATAAGCATCGTCTAGATAAGGTAATGTATAATGTTTAGACAGGGTAACGGGTACTGTCTAGATAAAGTAATGGGTACTGTCTATACAAGGTAATAAGTACTGTCTAGATTAGGTACCGGTTGCTGTCTAGATAAGGTACCGGGTACTGTCTAGATAAGTTCATGGGTACTGTCTAGATAAGGTAACGGGTACTGTCTAGATAAGGTAAAGGGTACTGTCTAGATAAGGTAAAGGGTACTGTCTAGATAAGGTAACGGGTACTGTCTAAATAAGCTAACGGATACTGTCTAGATAAGGTAACGGTTACTGTCTAGATTAGGTACCTGGTGCTGTCTAGATAAGGTAACGGGTATTGTCTAGATAAGGGTACGGGTACTGTCTAGATAAGGTAATTGGTACTGTCTAGATAAGGTAATAAGCATGTCTAGATAAGGTAATGTTTAATGTTTAGACGATAAGGTAACGGGTACTGTCTAGATAAAGTAATAGATAAGGTACTGTTTATATAAGGTAATAAGTACTGTCTAGATAAGGTACCAGGGTTGTACTGTCTAGATAAGGTACCGGGTACTGTCTAGATAAGTTCATGGGTACTTTCTAGATAAGGTAATGGGTACCGTCTAGATAAGGTAATAAGTACTGTCTAGATAATGTAATGGGTACTGTCTAGGTAAGGTAATTGGTACTGTCTAGATCAGGTAATATATACTGTTTAGAAAAGGTAACGGGTACAGTCTAGATAAAGTAATGGGTACTGTCTAGATAAGGTTATGGGTACTGTCTAGATAAGATAATTGGTACCGTTTAGATAAGGTAATATTTACTGTCTAGATAAGTTAACGGGTATTTTCTAGATAAGGGTACGGGTACTGTCTAGATAAGGTAATTGGTACTGTCTAGATAAGGTAATAAGCACCGTCTAGATAAGGTAATGTATAATGTTTAGACAGGGTAACGGGTACTGTCTAGATAAAGTAATGGGTACTGTCTATACAAGGTAATAAGTACTGTCTAGATTAGGTACCGGGTGTTGTGTAGATAAGGTAACGGGTACTGTCTAGATAAGTTCATGGGTACTGTCTAGATAAGGTAACGGGTACTGTCTAGATAAGGTAATTGGTACTGTCTAGATAAGGTAACATATACTGTCTAGATAAGGTAACAGATACTGTCTAGATAAAGTGATGGATACTGTCTATATAGGGTAATGGGTACTGTCTAGATAAGGTAACAGATACTGTCTAGATAAGGTGACGTGTACTCTCTAGATAAGGTTATTGGTGTTGTCTAGATAAGGTAACGGGTACCGTCTAGATAAGGTTATTTGTACTGTCTAGATAAGGTAACGTGTACTGTCTAGATAAGGTTAAAGGTACTGTCTACACAAGGTAACGGGTACTGTCGGTAGTTAACCATGTGACTGTAATGGTTCCGAGGACGAGAAGCCGCATACAAACCTTCAAATAGCATCGTGATAGGCTATATTTTCCACTACCTACTCACCAATGGAAAAATGTTACTGGTGTTCGTCACACCATAAGACTTCCCATAAATCGTTCATTGATCTCGCTTGTAGATCTTAATTATTTCTGTTGCTAAGTTATTCGTTCTAGTGTATTACATTATTGATGGAAACTGTTCGTCCCGACTGTCATTCACGGTTTGCCGTGCTGATATTGCCTTAAAGCATCAATAAGTGTATAGGTACATGTAGTGTGACAAATAGATAACAACACATAACAATGTAAATTATTCACTTGTTTTGAATCATCTTGTTGACAAATTTTACTGTTGTTGTAGTTAAAAGCGACTGACAAAGAGAAATATTTGACAGTGAGATTCGTTTCAATGATATTAAAACGAAGTTGATAATAGGTCTCAAATGTTTACTCTATACAGATATTGCAATTCCGGAAAACTCGTAATCCAGAAGATTTAGGCCGGGAACGAAGGTGTCGAGATCATCATGAGTCCTCTGTGTAATATATGTGAGTTCCCTGGTACAGGTAACCCCTGTCAAACAATTAAGAATTGACCTGTTTTGGTATCTGTTATTGCAGCACGTTGAAGAGATCGCCACTATGGCCATTGATCTACTGGCAGCCATCAAGCAGGTCAAAGTTCCCCACACCAATTCTGAACATGTCCAGATCAGGATAGGATGTCATACAGGTGAGCTTCTCCCCTAAAACGGCCATAACGAAGGCTACCCAAATAAGGACCAGACATTTTAAAAGAACACTTTCGAACATAACCAAAAAGTACAAACTGTTTTACAAGTAATTCTAGCTTTCATTCCTGGTACTTATGTGACTTACAGTGCGATACTATAATGTACAGTATAAACAATACATTTTGGAACATTTCCGTAGGGTTTGTAATGTCAATAGCAAAGAAATCTACCGTAATCATGCTGAACAACATCTTCGTCATTTGTTTTTGTTAATAAGGCGCATGTGTGGCTGGAGTAGTCGGACTGAAAATGCCACGTTACTGCCTGTTTGGGGATACGGTCAATACAGCCTCGAGAATGGAGGCGAATAGCCAACGTAAGTAACAAATTAAATGTGAGTTTTTATATGAGGAGACGGGAGAGTATCCCGTAGGATATACCAAAGTTGTCTCCCATTAAACGCTGTTTTACAATATTTTTTTCAGCATTGAAGATCCACATCAGCAAAGATACACGTGACAGACTTGTAGTGAGCGATAAGTACACAATGGAATACCGAGGACTGATAGAAATTAAGGTACGTAGTTAAATTGGCTGGTAGTTATCAGGGTCTCGTATCTTTCAGCAGGGGTGGGGGGTTGGCGGTTCTGACGCAAAAATCAAGGCCATTTTTAATAGAAAAAAAATTCTGCAGAATTGATTCAACTCTATCTCAATGATAATACGATATTCTCCGCTGCTTCTTCATAGGAAACGCTAGGACGAAATTGCTTTTCATGTTCAGATGTCAAAAGTCGATGCCACCTACCGCCGAAAATATATCATATCTGAATGTTAGTAGTAAACATCTGTTTATAATGAAGTATAATTGACTGAAATCAAACGATAAGTCACAAGTCCACAGGCTAAGGTCATCAGGTCAAAGGTCAAATTCAAATTCGAAATATCTCAATATTTTGAAGTGATACAGCGAATCACTAATCACTCATCAGGACAAAAATCAACTTTCCAGTATTCCAGTTTCACTCGACAGCAGTAGTTGACATCGGTAGAAATTATTTCTCGAAATCGATTAAATGGATTAAAAGTATAAATACAAAAGAATAGTAAGATACAATCTCGTCACCATTCTAAAATTCAAAAATAAATATGGTTAGTGTTGAATATGTATCATTTGGTTCAGAAAAATTGTTCAAAACAATTTGTCATCTATTATCAACTTAACTTGTTGAGTGATACGAGTATGATTTCCGAAATCAAAATATATTGATATATTTGAATAGGGAAAAGGACAGATGGACACTTACTGGCTGACCGGAAGAAAGGATATGGGAGAAGCCAATGAAAGCATGGTTTGTAAATGGCAACCACGTAAAAGGAAAAAGAAAAAACAAGACAATTCTACGAGTATTGAGCATTCGGCAGTATCTGTAGGATCATCTCAAAAGGAGAGTCAATCAGAATTGAATTCGCAGACGATAGACGATGACAATAGTTCCGTGATCGGAAGTACATCTTTGGTGAAAGGAATTTATAGCGAAATAAATGCTGATTCTAATATACATAATCCTTCATTAATTGACGTTACCGGTTTAGAAGGAGCCGTAGAACAGCAAGGAGCAAGTAAACAAAACCTTTGTATCGAAAAACAAAGCGAATCCGATAGTAATGGGATATTGATTAAGGACGACATATCACCCGCGTTGAGTGACGTACAGATTCAAGTGACCGAAGCGTCCTCTGATGGGGTTCCTGAAACACCAATTTACGTTAGTGAAACAGAAATACGTCAACCTACACCAATCTGTGACACTAGATCTGAACGTTCGTCCGAAAACCAAAGTCAGTATTATCGCTCAGATGATATATCAGCAGACACAGGAAGTGTCATAGCGACAAGCAATGCATCGTCAATGACATTGTCAACGTCACATTCAACGTCACTGCCAATGTCACCTTCAACGTCACTGTCAACGTCACCTTCAATGTCACCTTCAACGTCACTGTCAACGTCACCAACAACGACACTGTCAAAGTCACCTACAACGACACTGTCAACGTCAACGACACTGTCAACGTCACCTTCAACGACACTGTCAGCGTCACCTTCAACGACACTGTCAACGTCACCTTTAACGACACTGTCAACGTCACCTTCAACGACACTGTCAAAGTCACCTACAACGACACATTCAACGACACTGTCTACGTCACTGTCAAAGGCACCTTCAACGACACCTTCAACGACTCCTTCAACGACACCTTCAACGACACTGTCAACGTCACCTTCAACAACACTGTCAACGACTCCTTTAACGACACCTTCAACGACACTGTCAACGTCACCTTCAACAACACTGTCAACGACTCATTTAACGACACCTTCAACGACACTGTCAACGTCACCTTCAACAACACTGTCAACGACTCATTTAACGACACCTTCAACGAAACTATCAACGTCACCTTCGACGACACTGTCAAAGTCACGGTCAAAACAGAACAATCCATCGCCAGATAACGCAATTCTTCCTTTACACACAATATACGAAGATAAATCCAGTGTAGTCCCTTATAAATTTACAAACTAAGAATTAAACAATGACGGTATGGATGTTGTTCATACGTCCAATACTGCGGATGATATGCAATAACCCGAGCCAATGTCACATTTTATACAAAATTCGTCATTCTACCTGAAAACCAATTATAGTGTTCTTCATGTTTATGACACCCGCAATGTAATTGTATGCCCAAATCAAAGAGCAAAGAACTTGATAGCATATGACCTTAGTAAAAAGGTGGAAAAGTGATAGATCTGTTTAGACCAAATACCTTAATCAACAGAAGGACAGTTGCTATGCTAGAAATGTAAAAAAAATCGTTTACGAGTAACTGAAAATAAAGGAAATTGGCTACAGCGTAAAACGTAGCTGTTGTTGGTGACGTTAATGAAGTTGGTGTTAGAAGTGTTTGTAGTTTAAATAGATAGCGAGCACAGCGAATGATGTATGGTAATGTGTGTGATCAGCTCGTTTGTTCTCCGGGTTAAAATTCAGAAACTTATATCACTTTCGGTGAACGAGAAATGCATCTTCTCTAACATGGCAGCAGTCGAAAGGTCCCGATTTGACGTGAAAAAAATGCAATATTTGTGCATGTACAATAGATATTTGATTGTGTTTTATATGATAAATATTTGAATGTTTGGGGGAGAGGTAGTGTAGAAAAAGGCTGATTAAGCTTTATTTTGTCATGACAAAAGGTGTGGAGAACTTTCTGATTTTAATCATGAAAACGGGTTAAGTATATCAGCAACGTCTTTACAAATCACTCAAAACGATATGGTATTCCACAATATTTGAAATACAAACTCATTCCTTTTTTAAAGCAAAACGGAAAGATAGTCCTCTCTTCAACCTCTAAAACACTGAAAGGAAAACAACTGTACATATATTTTGAAAATGTGATCAATTCCAGAGTTCAGTTCAAAGTATAGGTATGTTGTCGAAGGCGTTATTCCTACATTTTTTACTAAATAAACAAACACATATTTTCGGTAAGATCAGCAACATTTCAATATAAAAGTTTATCTAACAGATGTGACGTCAGCTGTAATGGCCTTTCGGCAGACAAGATAAAGTTGACGATCAGGTTATTCAGCATATAAAAACATGTCCGTACACAAGTCACTTAATATTAATTTAATAACCGAGATGTTGTTTTACTTGATATCAATGTGCATCACGGGATAGGTAATGTATACCGAACGTATGTAAATCAGATCCGCTACATCAGAACCCAATAGCCATATTCGCGAAAATATTGCTACGTAGTTTGCTACTTTAAGCATGAATGCCCCTCGATAGGTTGATTTTATTAGTTGCATTGAATTTTAAGTGAAACAGCGTAATGTATGCAAACCCACACAGACGACTATATACATCAAAGGGACAACGATGGGCATGTCCTCAAAAGCAGGCTTTCAAACGGGTCATGTAGGGTATGAACTTAAATTTGCCTTAAATATCGGCGTTGCGTCGTACAAATTGTATAAAAAAGAAAAACAAAATAGGAAGACTTTGGTATTATTTTAGTGATACTATGGCTGATCAGAACAGTGTAGCTATTTAAACTGGAACACTTTTTAAAGAAAATTGTAAAACTTTTCTACTTAGCCTTCGAATCCTGTTTTTTCTTGGTATTTCACTAAAAGATACCCTCAGCTTTCATTTTATGCTTTCGTTACTTGCCAGCAGTGCACGTGTAAATAATAAGAACGTTTAAAAACATGATCGAATATTTGTGTTGTCGCATGGCTTCATTTTCCGGGATTTTCGTTTACTTTCATTTTGAAAATTTCAAATAGAGATGATAAACAGCAGGGAAGAGAGAGGCTGCTAAAACATGCCATGATTATCTATAAATACCTTAAATCTTGTTCCATTTTCGGTAGCGCCACGATAGGGCCGTCCTTCTCTCAATCCATCTGTCGCATAGTGCAAAACATGAAAATCATATTGTCATATATACCCGTTCATATCTAAAACAAATAACAAACGAACACTACTTTCTCTATTTTCACATATTTGCCTCACCGAAGTCATAATTTGATCACGGTAAAGCAAATTGATTATCAAACTTTAACGTTTATTCAACGTGGAGTTCGATACAGCTGAGCCAAATAATGAACCAAACTGCATGATACAACGTGGAGTTCGATACAGCTGAGTCAAATAATGAACCGAACTGCATGATACAACGTGGAGTTCGATACAGCTGAGTAAAAAAATGAACCAAACTGCATGATACAAAGTAGAGTTCGATACAGCTGAGTCAAATAATGAACCAAACTACATGATACAACGTGGAGTTCGATACAGCTGAGTCAAAAAAATGATCCAAACTGCATGATACAACGTAGAGTTCGATAGAGCTGAGTCAAATAATGAACCAAACTGCATGATACAACGTAGAGTTCGATAGAGCTGAGTCAAATAATGAACCAAACTGCATGATACAACGTAGAGTTCGATAGAGCTGAGTCAAATAATGAACTAAACTGCATGTACAATGTAGAGTTCGATACAGCTGAGTCAAATAATGAACTAAACTGCATGATACAATGTAGAGTTCGATACAGCTGAGTCAAAAAATGATCCAAACTGCATGATACAATGTAGAGTTCGATAGAGCTGAGTCAAATAATGAACTAAACTGTGTGATACAACGTAGAGTTCGATACAGCTGAGTCAAAAACGAACCAAACTGCATGATACAACGTAGATTCGATACAGCAGGTTTTTCCTCGGTGTAGCACTTGCCAACGATAGGGTATTAAAAGACAAGCCTAGGAAGCGACTAAGGCAAATGCAAAGACTTAACTTCAAGTGTTAATTTTATCAGTATAAATGCTTAGTGTAAAATGACATTCGGGTATCAGTTTTCTTTTCTGAAAGAAACATTAACATTCAAAACTCGGCTCCAAAGGTACTTGGTCGAATGCAGCGTTTATCTGTATTTTTTTTAATTGAAGAAATATTACACGGTATTTTTCCATCTTCCTTCCTGCGAATATGGGACAAGTAAATGTGCACATATATCTATTAATTCTTTCATTGTCTCAAATCACAGTGTATGTCTCTTTCTCCATCAACAACACAAATGTGGAATGACATAGATATTTGTATTAGAACCTCTACTCTCCATTAATTGAAATCAATTATCATTAAGACAGAAATGACATAAAAATGCTTTCAGGTATGAGGTTTACATTAATTAAACATACTTCACTTCCGTTTGAGAAATTGTGTTTGCTCTATTAATTGTGTTACCATTATTCTGAACAATTAAGTGAATTTGAGTGCCAATGCTTTTTTTCGCAGTAATTGGTGATGTTCTTAGCAAGTGAAGCGAAGCCTGAACTAGTCGCTCGAGCACGTGTACTGTATTAAGTATAAGGCAACTTCACAGAATTGTACAGTAGCAATATTACGTTAAAGGGTTCAGTAAATGTTTATTAAAGAAAGATAGTTGGTGATATTCAGCTGTCAGTGGGTTATTTTGTAGTATTTGGTACTTTTCCTATATGAAGTACAACCTGTAAGGTCACGTGTGTAACTTTTACTTCCGGCGCTGACCGGAAGCTTGGGGAAATGTAAACAAATATGTGACTAGATGGAAAACAAAGAGTTTTGGTCTTGCAGGCTCCGTGGTGATTGTGTGATGGGGTAGACAACAGGATGGGGACCAGACCAGGACGGCTGGGCATGACTGCCGCTGATTTCATACCAGTTCAACGTACAGGAGAACATAGGCGAACAACCTAAACTGTATTAGTGACTTGGGCGACGTCTATTAGCTGACCACACGGACCATCCCTCTACGGATCTGGGACAGCGGCACATCAACGTAGATGGTGATACACCTGAGGTTCTCGCAACGGGACTCTCATTTGTGAATGGTGGTAATGAATCGGTGGCTTCCAATATGTGACCATCGTGTAATTGGTATTTAAACTGTGTACTGGAACTGTGAATTTTCAACTGTTACTGAACATTCAGTGTTATCATAGTCTGTATAATGGAAGACTCACAGTGAATAGGATAGAATAATAGGCAGTTAGTAATGCTTAACCTATATTTGTTGGATAGATGCACTCTAACGAAGGTAATGAAATAGTAATGTTAGATATCTTATGAAAATTATCCTTCTAGTCATATTTCAATTGATGAGTAATCTCCGTGGCCAGTATTGTTATTTTTAAGCTGGCTTGACATGAGATGGGATCTTAGAACTAGGATTGAATACTCTGTAAAACTTAATGTTCTTCCCTTGTTTCATATTTGTATATAAATTTATTATTTATATTCGGGTTTGCGTGTTCCTTTCACTTAGCACCAGTCCTGCAGCTTAAATTAACAAGATGGTGGTAATGATTATGGTGTTGATGTTGATGATGGTGGTAGAGTGGTTGTGGTGGTGGTGGTGATGATGTTGGTGGTGGTGGTGGTGGCGGCGGCGGCGGCGGAGGCGGTGGTGGCGGAGGTGTTGTTGTTGTTGTTGTTGTTGGTGGTGGTGGCGGTGGTGGAGATGATGATGGTGATGATTGTGATGGTGGTGGTGGTTGTTGTTGTTGTGGTGGTGGAGATGATAATGGTGATGATTGTGATGGTGGTGGTTGTTGTTGTTGTGGTGATGGTGATGGTTTTGGTGATGATGGTGATGGGGATTATGTTTGTGATGGTGGTGGAGGTTGTTGTTGTTGTTGTGGTGGTGGTTGTGGTGATGGTGGTTGTTGTTTTTTTGATGGAGTTGGTGGTGGTGATGCAATGGTGTTTAGAAGAAGACGATAATTACCTAACACAATTTACCTATGGGTGATTCAGCGTGTATCTTGTGCAAATCTTACATTTAAACAATTAAAAAACACGTTTCAGTGAAGTCATGATCCGACAGTTAAAAATCTGCTTCTTGTTAATCATGTTGCGCATGCTTTTAGGCAGTGTTATACGATTGTCA